TACATTGTCTTACAGATGGGGGAACTGAGAAACTGTTATCACTGATGCAGGTTGATACCAGGGTGCCTTTGGCAGTACAAAAAGTCTGATTCTTATCTTCCCACTCCCTTAGTTACTGTCTAGTTCTTCCTCCCACGGCTTGTCCTGGATCGTGCCTCATTATGATGACAGGCCAAATGTATTTATCTTCTTTAGTTGTCTTCAAGGCTCTTTTTCGTACTTGCTGTCTTGGAAAGTGCTGTCTCTGTGTGATAACTCAGTCATCTCCCCGTTCTGTAGAGAACAGGGTGGTGTTGGCCAGGAGATAATTCAGTATGGAGCCTGGTACTGTTTCAGAAAACCAGAATCGTGTATATATGTGTGTGTGTGTGTGTGTGAGTGTGTGTGTATATATGCACGCAACCTCCCTGGGCTGCAAGCAAACAACGTGACAGTAACAAGCAGGCAGTCAGAGCTTAGCTGAACGTTTATTTGGTTGCAAGTTAAAACCGTTGCAGCAAAGCTGCACATGGTGGGCTGTGGATATTTTTCAAAGGGTTTAGGTGGTCCTTGGATGGAAACAATACTGAGAAACTCTGCTGTAGTCTGACTGTTCCCAGCCTTCTGGTAGCTGATCCTGGGTTGGAGAAATTAGGAAGATTTCGTGCCTTGTGGTGTCCCCAAAATCAAGAGTTGTCTCCACATGATGTCTTATACTGGGGAGACTACTGTTGACTGGCAACTGCTGGTCACCTCCAGAAAGCAGTGGCTTCTCCCCAGAAGGCTGGACCAGTTATAACTGATGGCCAGGAAGACATTCCCATGGGGATGAAGGAGTGAGGATCCCTCTCATACCTGTCTGTAAGAGCTGCTGAAAAACAGCTGCGTTTTCTTGTTCTCAGCAGTAGAAAATACTGCCAATAACTAATGCCCTGCTCAGGGCATTACACTGTAAATCACAGTGTTCCCTGCAGGAGACTTCCCGGGTTCTTGCACGTAAGAAATGTCTCTTATTGTGTGAAGAAGAGGAGGGGCAAGTCAGCCAGCTGGTGCAGGCTGTACTCACAACATCTGACACGTCCCGGAGCGAGGGGAAATGTGTGTTTACAGGCTGGCAGGCTCTGGGAATGGAAAGCAAATGGCAGATAAATATACTTCACTTCTGGATTACTCTTTGGATGGGAAATATCCTGCACGTGTGCACATGCACAGCGGCTCCGTCCCCAGCACTGCGGTGTCCCAGCTCCCTGGGACAGAGGGATGGGCATAGGGGTAGCTTCTGGACACCGAAGCACTTATTTCAGCTCTTCAGAAAGGAGCTGAGCGTCTGGAAACTTCGGAGGACCCAAGCTGGGTTTTGGGAAAGGATCCTGGAGGCTCAGGGCTGCAGTGGCACTTAGGAGAGCTGAGTGGGGCTTTGCACGGGATTGATTCATCCTCGTAGGCTCAGCAAAGCAAGGGTCTCCCCCTCCCTGCGCCCCCGCAGCTTTACAGCTAAAGGAAAAGCTGCTTTCTGCCCGTCCCTCCGGCTTCCGCGGCTGGGGAGGGAGCCGGCCGGGGGCAGAGGCCGGCTCCTG